AGGCACTATGAAAGACACCAGAGGGGTAATTGCTAAAACATGGGGTGAGTATTTCATACTATCATTTAAACTAATTATTCTTCCTTGTTTTTGAAAGTGAATAAGGAAATTATATATTAAACCTTAATATCCCTAGTGTTATAGATCCACTTTGGTAGACCAAAATATTTCTCTGAAATATCAACGTCAAACCTCATTTGTCCACTATCTAACTAAAATATTATTGCCTATTAGACTCATAATACATTTTTCCACAATTTCGATATTTGATTGCTGTCAAATTGAGATCAAATACAAAACTTACTTACAAACTTATTAATCCCCAATTTAAACTATGTCCAAGTCAAATCTAAAATAGTCTAATATAATTGTATATTATTGCATATTCAAATACCAACATAGTACAAGTTAAGTCAAATAAAAAATAAATTGACCCTTAATGCTTATTTGAATCATTTATACACATACATCCAATCTTTAGTTGAAATAACAGACAATTACAAAACTAAACTGTCACAAATTGTCTGCTGTTGCTAATGTCTAATAGCAAAATTTATTTAAAGCGCGGTGGTCGTCGCGCTGCGCATGTGCGACATTTGTGTTGATAAACATTGATTTTTCCATTAGTATTATTAGTATTAGGTTTTTGTTTAACAACATACTAGACTACATCGTACCGTCCAAATACATTGCCAATATATTCAAATGTAAATCTAAGTATATGTTAACTATCCACTAATCTACTTGCAACACAGGGGCAATAAAATCTTTTGTTGGAGTTTCTGATAATTCTACCAGAGTCGAGATGATTGATACCATTATTCTACACATATATGCTGATAGAAAGAACATTATCGATGACGCTATTACCAAAATCAATCAATTAATGGAGTCTGAATCCATTGACACTGTAAGGCCACAACTTATATTCCCTGATTTTCTTTTAAGCATTTAATTTTCTTTTAAGCGTTTAAAGATTTTTATATAATCTATAAACCGATTACCCAAATTTTGCTAGGTTTAATTTTGAATGTGTAATTCATGAGACTCAATAGTGTATTTACCATGGAAACAGAAATGATGCCATTGTTATAGTAGTATTGTATCTTATAACAGACTATTGCAAAGGACACAGTAAATAAGCTTACAGATGAAGATATGTCTGAAATATACCAAGTAGCTGAACCCCTGAAGGTAATATTATACAGTATATGTATAGTTCAATTGGCTACCGTGAGCATGGTAATGGTTGTCAAGATTGATACGGTTTTGGCCACAATTAACTAATATTAAAATAGATACACATTATCCAGTATGGTTGCACAAGTACGCGAAAAAACATTTAGAGTTTCAACAACTTCTGGAGTGTATGTTCATACCAAATGTTTTATCAATTTGCCGAAAATTGTATGAGGTATTTATTGGGCACTTCCGATTTTATTTAAATCAGTTTTTCGTTAAATCACAGTGCTGGCAAACAAATACATCTATACAGGAAATTCAAGATGGCTATCAAACCATACAATCAATCAAAAATAATTTTCTTCATAATAAAACAATTTGACAATATACGCATTACGAGAAATAATGCAAGATTGTGGTGATTTGAACTGATCAAACTAACATACATGATAAACCATCCATGATAAACAAATACATGTCATATTTTTTGCCAGAAATCCAAGAAGGTGGTCAAATTAACTTACAGATATGAATTATCTTTGTGGTGCGTGAAGGGGTTCATTCAAGTCAATAGAACAAATGTGGCATAAGTACAAACTAGTTTCTGTTAGACAAACCATGAGACTGTTCGTATAAAAGCTTCTCATATAGATGCTGAAATCCAAATTTCAGATCAACGTGTTCAGTGGATAGATTGTTCTGCCGTTTCTCAGAAAAAAACATTATGGTGGGCAAAATCCTTTACCAGTGAAGATTGTATTGCGAATTGTCATCTAACTGTAAGGCCATCGCTGATTGGCGAATGGATTGAAATGACAATTTTTGGTTTCAAATAGCCCAGGAAAGTGTTCTAAGTTCTTTGTGTACCGGTAATTAGGTGTTCGTATACAAGGGATTTATCCACACAGAAACGACGAATTCGGCCGAATTTAATAGCGACTGGCTTAATATTGTAACGGATTATTTGGCTATGAAAGATTGGTATTTTTTTTTCTGATTTGTAGGAATCTGAAAAAACACGTTTCTCTTTATTTAGTGTTATCCTAGTTCAAGATGGCGGCCCCCATATTATACATATCGCATTTATTTTAATATCACTTGTGCGCCAGCTGACTGGTATAGGCATAAAACTGGATGTTTTATTAGTCTGGTTCTGCAGCATAAGCAAGATGATGAAGAGCCTAAAATGCCCTTACAAACTGCTGCTAGGCCGAGCTGAATTAGTGAATGCGACGTTCATATATTGATGGCTTGTGGTGTACTGACTTGCCACGTTAACATGCATTTACTTGATTTGCATTCATCATTTTCATTCCTTAATTGTTTCATTCTAGACCAGTGACTATTAATTCCAACGTTTGGGTCTCAATTGTTAACTGTTCCTGTAGTTCCTGTCTCCCCTGTTTACAAGGTGACCACATCCCATCTATAAAACCAATGGATATTATCATTAGTTACCACCATGTACATACCACTGAATACATTTTCACATTGAATGTGGTGCCTTATTGCTATCATTAACTGCCTTACTACATGACTTACACAGGTCACCAACATCAACTTTTCCATGGGTGCCGCCAATTTTTTGGGGGGTTTGGATTCTACAATTTGTTGTTTTGTAACATTCTACATTGAACTCCTAGTATATTTAGAAGTACTTCTACCTGATATTGTCACAACACAAACAGTAAGCCAATCGCGCTGCTTACAACGTTTATCAGGTTCAAAAACTAAAGTACAATATCGCACAATAGGCGACAATTTTGACGATGACGAGTCAAAAATGCTACTAATGATCAGCAGAAATGACCGAACAAGAGTTGTATTTTAGCGGTAATACTTCAGTTTAGGAAGAAAGAAATTATTCTCAATTAACGCACTTGATACGCACATACTAGAAGCTAAATTAGTTTTGTCATCATGTCAAATCATGGTTGTTGAGTATGTTTCTCTGCCAGTAGGGTTATGCTTTAATGATTGGATAATCATGTTTCTAGGTGTTAAAGTCTCTCTGCTTTTAAATTCATTTATGTGAGTGCTTTAGCTGGCCAACCAAATATGTGCCATGTAACATGCATGGCCATGACTCATATAGAATATTTATATGTTTCAGGTTAAAGTTCAGCAAATAGATACTGGACGTGTCAAGCAGCTACGAATACAAGGAATTACACAATCTGTTATGCAAGTGCAAAG